ACAACTGCGACACAGCACTAGACCACACGAAACGAGAGTTCCACGCATCCTCATCAAGGCTTTACGGCGTACACATACATAAAACATACCTGGTCCCTCATGGTCGGAGAGCCAGGAGAGTCTTCCGCCTCAACGTCTCCGTTCTCCGCTGCTGCCCTCACTCCTCCCGCTCCGCCGCCGCCGGCCGCCACGTCGGGGGCTACGCGAGTTGCCACCGGCGCCACGGGGGGTGCCAGAGGAGGAGGGGGCTGCACCGGTGCCGCTGGCGGTGGCGTAGGTGCCTCCGCTGTCTGCGCGGCCGAGGGAATTTTGATGTGTGTTTGTTGGTGGTGGTTGTTGTTTGTTTGCCGCCGCCGCCGCTGCTGCTGCTGCTGTTATTGTTGATGCTGTCGTTCCTCTCGTAAGAGGGGATCAATGTGTGCTTGGTTGATAGTGATGAGTACATTTGTATTTGTTTGCCGCTGCTTAAGGCCCATGCTGTTCTTAGCGTTTCAAAGAGTGCATGCATGACGTGCACGTGGATGAAGTTATGCTCGTGGGGCTGATTTGCACGACCTCTCTCAGATGCACAATGTTGGCCATAGATCTACAGCAGTAGTCTGCAGCTCTCCCACCATTCCCCATACCCAGGCACAGAAACTGCCGCCATCAGAGTTTCGGCATCTTATCCCTACAATAGCAGTGACATCAGTGTCGTCTTGACCCACCTCGTGCACGTGTAGGTCCTTGATGTCTTCCCCCCTGAAGTTGACGCACGCGTGAAGGTGGTCGGAGGGGGGTATCTGCTGATCGCCCTCCAAGCGACCCTCCGTGCCCCAGCTCTTGACTGAACGGTCGCGGCGGCAGCGCAATGCACGGCCCGCACGCGGCAGCGGAGCAATGTGCAGCCAAGGGCGGTAAGAGAGAAATAGACAGACAGACAGACAGACAGACAGACAGACAGACAGGAGAGAGAGAAAGAGAGAGAAGGAGAGCCACGCAGAGGGACAGAAAAACAGAGAGACAGAGAAGGAGAGAGAGAGAGAGAGAGACACAGAGAGAGAGAGAGAGAGGGAGAAATGAGAGGCCATGACCAGACAACTTAAGAGGTGAAAAGGTTTGTAGGTTGTTGCCGGTACGACAGCAAAGGTGGGAAGAACGCCTTGACGAAGAACACGTGAGGGAGGCTTCGAATTGCAAGAGGCCACCACTCCCGTAACTAACCGCGTCCTCATACGACTACACATTCTACGCATTCTCCTAAGATTCTGCCTCAGTCGTCTCGTAGGAGATCGAGTGGAGCTGCAGCGACTCACTGACGGGTCACGAGCGAGGAAAAAAGACCCGGGAGCAAAAAGATCAAGAGACATGGGAAGAAAGAAGGTCGCTAGCTTCGAAGGGGGTAGAGGGATAAGGGGGGGCGGTCGCAATATCCACCTACGGCAATGCCCTCTACATGATTTATCGATTGTGCTACCAAGGGTGTAAAGAACTGCATGTCGTCTGCGTTTCGCGTGTGGTTGCTGGTGTGAGTCGGTAAAGCCGGGACACGGCCTAGGGCTTGTCGTCTAGATTTGAGGAAGAGCAAACCAGGCCCAAAGAAACCCCTCCGAATGTGGCAGAGGCACCGGTGTGCGAGTCAAGCAAGCAAGCAAGTGTCACAACCCTTCCAACATTTTCTGGAATTCCCCCCCCTCGCGGTATCCGCCATCGGGGTAGGGTTTTCGTCGCTCGGCAACGACGTTGTAAAACAAGCCAATTCACTTCGTGAACTCGGCAACCAGGATACCGTTTTTCGTTTTTGTACCTCTGTATTTTTTTTTGGGGATAACCATAATGGTGGTCGAGTAGATCATGTTGTGCGGGGTCGAGAACCCTC